CCCACAACCACACAATACCCAAGTACATGTTGCCCAAGATATTAGTTCTTCACAACTCGAAACTGGAGCCACAGAATGTCGTCTGACAAAAATTACATTCTTAGCCAATCAAATCACGAATCGTGGTGAATTTCTACCAATCCAAATTCCTGATTCCGTTCCTATTAATAGTAATATATACCAAACGATGTAATAGTAATCGACACCAAAGGTCCATATCATTTTTGTGAAAACCAATCAAATCACGAATCGTGGTGAATTTCTACCAATCCAAATTCCTGATTCCGTTCCTATTAATAGTAATATATACCAAACGATGTAATAGTAATCGAAAGCCACAATATAATAAATATATGTTGGTCGGTCGTACGTACGCAATGTCGCCGTAACCGACGGTGGAGATAGTGACCAGGATAAAGTAGAACGAGTCGCCCAGTGTCACATTGTTGTTGATCCAGGCGCCAGTGTCCGACAGAATCGGCACGCGGTACGAGTTTTCCACAAGCTGAAACAAGCACGCAGAGATGAACACGATGCTCGTGACGAGAAGGCCAAGGGACAGCAGCTGCTGCTGCACGGCTACGGATGATCCATGTTCGATGGACGAAGGACGAGGTGCAGGTTAACGGTACCGGTAAAGTGGTTGGCGGAGCTATGGCGAGACATTTGAATCGCCTTCATGATGCGGAGGATGCGCACAAAGCGCAGAAAGGCGAACGTTGGTCGCTGTCCCGTCGAGTCGTTGGTCACGTAGTCGTAGATGGTTGGCGCCACCGCCAGCACGTCGATGATGGCGCTGAACGTGAACGGGAACCACAACCTGCATAGACAACACATCATGATGATGAGTTGATGCATATCGTCGTGGTGGTGCATACCGATTCTTGGCGCAGTAGAAGCGCAGGCAGTAGTCGGCGGCAAAGATCACCCCAAACGACAAGTCCATGGAAGGGACGACAAACTCGTCGTGGTAGCTTTGGACGACGCACACAGCGCATGCGACGAGGGACACGAGAGTTTGAAACATGTCCCACGCGTACCCGACATGCGATGTCTCCAGCTTGATGCGCACGCGAGTTCGAAGCGTAAACCCTTTGGGGATGCCGTGGAAGAGATCCCAGTGCTCGTTCCCAAGAAGAATGCTGCTCAACCGAGATCGCTCCGTGAGTTTTTGCCGATCGCTCACGAACACTCTTCCATTTTGCTTGTGGTATCTCAATGGGGACGCGGTCGCTTGTCGTGACGGCGCCATCAACTTCGTCATTCGAATTGCCGCCCGCGACGGTTCCTGCAAGATTCCAGAACGTTTTTTAAGTACGCGTTTTGCTTCGTACATAATGCATTTTGCAGTTTTACAAAGTACGGAGTATTGATACTATTTTAATAGTATCAATATATATAATATATATATTATTTATATGTATGTACAATTACTACTGTACTGTAGTAGTGACTTACGGGACAGCATTGAATATTAATACCAACCTTGGATACTATGGTTAATATAATATAATTGTTGAATTGAAAGAGTGGATGGGATGAAGTTGTGGGATGAAACCTAAAGTAGTGACCAAGCCTTACGTTGGCCCCGAGCGCCCGGGAGGCCTTCTGCGCAAGCGCGGATCTAAACTTCTCACTTCACCGAATGATCTATCTTTTCTTCTTGTCGGGTAGCGGCAGATAGGCCGTAGGCCGTGCCGCACCCGGACGAGGCCTGTATGGAATGACCTAGCATTATCCTAATTTACTCTCATCTATACTAATTAGGATATGACCTAATATTAATGGTGGATGACGTTGGGATGACGTTGGATGACACAAGAAGAAAAGATAGATCATTCGGTGAAGTGAGAAGATTAGATCCGCGCTCTCGTACGGCCGCGCTTGCGCAGACGGCCTCCCGGGCGCTAGGGGCCAACGTAAGGCTTGGTCACTACTTTAGGTTTCATCCCACAACTTCATCCAATTTCATCCCATGTCATCCACGCTTTTAATTCAACAATTATATTATATTAACCATAGTATCCAAAACCAAGGAAGATGTTAGTATTTGACAGCGTTGGACTCGAGCGCATCGATAACGGCCGAGCTAACGTTTTGACTGCAATACTACAATCAATCTTTTTAGCCAATCAATTTGCAACCTTCATTCGTTGTAGCCAATCATACTCCATTGCTCGATTAGTTCGAAACGAGGTTTTCAATAACCTTGTCAGGTGATGTTGTGGAACTGGCAGGTAAATATGTAACTGCCCGGTAAGAGCAGAAGTTCATTCTTATGCTACGTCCATTCTCGTAAGACTAACTTATCTTTTGACACCAGTAAGTGTGTGCTACACCGTTTTGCAGTTGGTTGGACGAATGCCCATGCATTTGGCCATGTGCCCGTTTAATTTGGCACACGGATGCCCTGTGCCCTGTGCCCGATACCGATATACGTGATATAATTAATTGCCCATGTGGCCAAGCTATTGCCCGTCTACCCGATGAAAATGGAAATCACGCAATCAAAAGTCAATTCAATATAGAAATGGTCGTCAAACGACACATGCAGCATTGTTGCTGTGGCGTCACATACCAACGCCCATGTTGCGCATGGCCTCCGCGCGTCCATCGAGGGTGCGTACCTTGAGGTAAATCGAAAAATGAGCTCGGCGCGCGACAGATTCAAGTTTTGGAGCGAGTTCAAGTAGTATAGGGGCAACACTATACTTTGATCGGGGACACGGTCAAATACATCGGCATTCGTCCAACTTCACTTCAAAAAGGTGTTGTACACTAGTAATGTACATACAACTGGTACTTGTTGAAGCAACGACGATCTAACCTTAACGTTATACAACTCAAGCGTATTCAAACCGTCGTTTGATATTATTAATCCACTTGGTTACGATATTATAAGTGGCATGAGTCCCCCGTCCACGACGAGCTACAAATAGCACCACTCGGTTACGAATTATGGTAACGGTCCACAGGTTTCATTCAACCTCCATCACCATGAGCCAGCCGCCGCCGCAGCCGCCGTCCATTCCCGTGTCATTCAATCGCATGTCGATAGGCGTGAGCCTCCTCTTCTGCATCAACATCGTCTGCATGCCACTCAAATGCTATTTCACCGAGCTGCTGTGGACCAACCCAGAAACATTTCGGCCACCAGCCATCTTCCCCGAGGTTGCGTCCGAGTTCAATCGATCGACCGCCAAACGATACGTGACCCAACTCCAACTTGTGTACAACAACACCACCATCCCCGCCCATCGAGCCTACCACTACGACGCGACCCACGACGTCGATGTCATGCGCACAGTCATGACCAGCTCAGACTGCGACCGCCCCCCCCTGCAGCTTCTCAACGACATACTCGGCATTGTGTACTTCTCCACAGACCTCAAGCTGGACCTCGTGGACCGGTTGTGTACGAACGCATCGCAAGACGTGGCACGTCTGTGGCGTGTGAATTTCATCGACTCACCTGCCTTCATCTCGGCGTTGTGGGTCGTGTCTGGCCAAAATGACTTGGACAGCAACAACTCGACCATACCGACCGATTCCAATGTGACGACTGTGTACGTTTTATTCATTCCGGACGTGAGGACCATGTCGTGGCGCTACACCAAGCTAGCATGGCGACTACTTCTCTGTCTCTCGCTAGCTGTTCTTATCGTCACTTCGTACATTTGTCCATTGTGGCAACTCAAGGGCAACTTAGAGCGGTATGCGGTGGTCGCTCCTTTGCACGGCAGTCAAAAAGGCTCGAAGGAACGACGGCGCCGTGTCGTGCGGTACAGCGTCGTAGTCGGCGAGCCATCCTGTTTTGTCTTGACCAAGCCGTGGGTGTGTATCGCGTTTGCCGCAGATTTGCTGGCTAGTACCTTGTACGTCGCTCAGGCGTGTCTACGGGTGTGCCAGACCACATCGTTGCTTCACTTTGCACTGGGCACTTTGTACTTGGGTCGCACGGTGTGGTTTTCATACACCGCCCTGGCCAGTGTCAACGTTGCCCTTAAGCGGTGGCAGAAGTGCCACTGGATCCGCCCCGCCAACACGACTGTCTTGGCGATCGCAGCTGGGGTCGTAGGGGGGACCATCACGAATGTGCAGGGGCAGTGGCCACCCATCCTGCAAGTGTACACGTGGCTGTTCATGCTCCACAGTCGCCAAGATACCAACCAAACGATGCAAATGGACAGTATCTTTGTGAACCTGGTGTTCGCAATGACCATGTGCTACCTCCCTGCCGGCGTCGTGGGGGGGCGGGCAGTGTGCCGCCGGCTGTGCACCGTCTACCGACGCCCGCACGTCGTGATGGCTGAAACTCGTTGCCATCCTGGCAACTGCAATGACATGAATAGCATGGAAAACAAGGCCGACCACCCTCCAACAATCGATGTACAGTCATATAACTAGCCCCCTCCCCCATCCATCCATTCCAATAACCCAAACTGTCCTCTCTGTTCATAGGTCGTCCAACACCACGCCTATCACCACCTGGACTTTCGCACGCGGTGGTACCTTTGGCTATGCTGTGGCCGCAGCGTTTGCGACCCTGGTACTATTGTATCAGCCAAACAATTGGGATTTGAGTGCTACCTCGCCAAGTTTGAATATTCGAATTTGACAATACAGCCTAGGGTGTAAAAGCTAGCTACTTTACGTGTCTAACGTTCGTGGTGGTGTAGATCTCGTGTTTCACGGGGGCAGCATCGCCACCTTGTTTGCCCTGCACCCATCGTTTCAAGCGCACTGCACCCTCGACCAGCGCGGCGGCGACTGCTATGTCTGTGGCTTTGACGCGACGGACGTCATGGTCACCATCACCCGCGTCGCATGCATACGAGGGCAACTGGATATGACACGAGTCACCATCGACAGTGATGCCCCGGCCAACCGTGTGGCCGTCGGGTCGCTCACCATCTCGTCTGCGAATGGGCCGCTCGTGGTGACCTTCCGCCGCGGCGTGGACGACTGCCTTTGGATGGCGTGACGTGTGTAAAACCATAGAAACCCAGGCGACGAACCTCGCTTTAGTCGACATCCTTGGCCGCCACCATGCACCGGAATTTCAATCTGTCAACCCCAAGTCGTCTGAGCTTTACGCGAGGGAGGGTGATGTTGTCCATGTGGGGTCGTCAACGTTATTATCACAACTCTCGTCATGAGGGTTGCCAAGATAAGTACATACACTCCCAATCCATGTACTATGTGTATGCATGCATGCCCACATGATGCTTCTGGTGTGTTCCTGTCATGTTGTAATGACAGCTATAAGATATCCAACGACACATCGTGTCCCACGATGGGTTGGTCCCGTGTCATGACATTTCCCTGACGTTAGCGCTCTTCGAACCATAATGTGAGCGAAATAAATGGCAGTAAACTGGTCGTTGCCAGTTTAATTGTATGCCAGTACCAGTTACTATGACAACCCATTTCCGAAGAAAAACAAACGGCGGTCGGTCGTCCATTGTCAAATTACCGCCAAAGACGGGGAGTCCATGCTTGGGGGTATTCGTTCTTTGAAGTAGGTCCGTCGCGTGAACGTGTCTAGTCCTTGCGTGTCTTGAGCACTTTGGTCGTCACGCCTTGAGGAGTCCTATGAATGACACGAGCGAGGTGAACCCAAGGTTACGAGAACGGGACATCTCGTACAAGATGTGCACGACACCGCCCCAGCCTGCCAACGCATCTCGGTTGCACGCCGACAGCAAACACTGTGAAATCGTTTCAAACAAGTCTTCTGGCTCCTACTCCTTGTCATGAGGGATACACGTGGACGACTGTTGTTGTACCATGTCCGGGCGGAAAAGGGATTCGCACATGCCGTGCAACGCTTCCTCCATCGTGCCTGCACACACGTAGTCCTTGGTGAACATTTCACAGCCCAAACAATCCATGCTGCTCAGGAACGGCTGGTTGTCTTCCGTCAGACCGGCCACCAAGGGTTCCACGAACCAAGGCCCAAAGCTACGTGGCGCATTAGCAGCATCTCCACGACACATGTGGTTCGTAGGGACACTTACCGCTTCTCGTACATCAAGTTGGAGATCAATGCGCTCAACGTCTTGGCCTTGATCTCGCGTTCTTCGCGCATCTTGTACATGTTCAACTTGAACCGCAACAGCTGCGACACGCTCTGGACATCCGTGGCCAAGCCCGCAAGCCCCAAGAACGTCTTGTCGTTGAGGCGAAACACCTTTTGAAAGTCCGTAGCGATCGTCTGTCCTTGCACGCCGAGACGTGTGTCGCTGAAAACAGTTGTCGCGATGAGATCTCAACGATCACTGCAATGCCCTACCTTGCAATGGCCACGCAGTTCTTGCCAGCCATGGCAATGACCGCAGCTCCGTTGTACGCCAAAATGCTCTACACAAGTGCACCATGAGCATGCTTCGTGCAGGGGATGCATGACGACACCCCACCATGATACGCTCGGATGGATTGAGTTTGCGGCCTGAATGAACGCAAAGGGAGAAACCTCTCACAAGTGATAGATCAGCAGGGAAACACCGGATACCGACTGGATAAACCTGTTAAGTTGAATATATATTAAGTGCGGGTTGGATGACGTCCGGTTTAAGTGCGAACTCTTAAAAACCTTTCAAGATCCAACAATCCTCGGGGAAATGGCGGCGGCGGCGGCAGGCTTTGTCGAGTTCCATCGGTCCATGTCGCTGGAGCACCAAGCCATTCCACCTCCGCCACCAGCGAAGGCTCACCGTAAGTGCGTCGCCGCTTCCGTCTCGTATCACGCATCGCCACATGTCACCGCTGGTAAGGTACTTCCACAATGACCACGACTTGGCGTGCTCACTGCTTTGGTAGAACTGTCAACAGTTGACCAAGTGCTGGAGTGCCGAAACGAGCTGTGGGAGCATGTGGACGAGGTACGTCATCCGACGAAAGCGATGTATCTTCATTCACGTCGGGGTGATTTGGTGGTAGATATTGGAGTCTGTGACTGGCGAGATGTCGAGCGCGATGGCGGCAGCCGTGGACAAGACGAAGCAATTGAAGAAACTGCATGCGATCTGCCACGCCAGGGAGCAGCATGTGCACACGATCAAGCTAGGACTCATGCACGAGCGGAACGAATACCTAGCGAAACTGATAGCCATCCAAGCGTAAGACCATTGCTTCGACCTTCCATGACGTCGTCACACTACGTTTCCAGGCTCTTGCGTAGTCGAACCACTCCAGATCCTTCAACACTGACCACCCTCCAAAACGATGTCACAGATAAACACCACGAGACGTGCCAGCTCCTTCTCCAAGTACTATCGAACCGAAGATCACCCCACTCTACCAGTGTCACCCCATCCATCTCGAGCTGACTCCACAACCGTACTGCCATCTATTCCATCATAACACGACCATAACGTTATCGCAAGTAACTATCTCAGTGTGAACACACATCCAAACTGTCCAAGTCTACGATTCATTGCAAATCCTGGCTACACTTTTTCAATCGTCGGCCATGTCCATGGGTTCACCGTCGACGTCGTCGTCTCCATCTAGCGGCACTCCGTCAATATCGTCATCTAATGGCACGCCGTCAATGTCATCTTCGTCTTCTTCCATGGGTTCACCATCCACATCCCCATCCTCGTCGTCAATCTCATCTTGACGGCGTCCATCTCCGACAGATGTAAACTTCTTGAGCATGTACAGCCGTCGGTACATGTCGTGCTTGGATCCCGCGGCAACGAGCCCCGCATGGCGGCACTTGCGTTTGAGTCGCTCGTCGTTCAACGCCAACGTGTCGGCGTCCATGGCGGCGCACACGACGTCCATGTCTTCCTCTACTTCACGGCTTTTTTGCAAGAACGTTGCGTTTAGGCCTATGAGATACGGGGGCGGGAACAGACTCCACTGGCCCCACGCATGCAGGACACTGAGCACCTTGTCGCGCATGGCGTTATACGACATGCGCCCGACGATCGCGTGGCCCACGGCGTTGAGTGTGTCCATGATATCAGGCAAAGTCTCTTCAAACTGGGTGCGATACAGGGAAGCATTCTTGAGCGGCGCGCTCGAGTTGTGCAAAATGTCCGACACAACAAACAGGCGCGCCACATATGCCATGGCAGGCACATGACGATGGACACGCTTGGACTCGCGGGAGTCGCCGACGTGGAAGGACCGGACGATCGTAGATGAAATGTCCACGGCGCACTCGGAGTGGTCGAGCGCAAATGCCATCACGTCGCAGATGGACTGCCGGTCGATGGTCACGTCTTCAAGATATGAACACAATGTGTCGTATTCACGCCCTGACAATTCAAACCTGGCGCGGTGGCCCCTACAATATATATATATATTACATATATATATTATACATATATATTATATACATAAACGTCAACATATTTCAAGATAGGGGGGGGGGTGGTGGTAAAATACGTATTTTCTAATCTATTAATTTTTCAATCCACGGCCATGCGACATGGTTATTTGGACATTCCAAACCCAGAATCATCATGTGGACAATATCTATTTATATATATATATATATATATATATATATATATATAATAATCGACGTACTTTTCCCTGTCCTTGGCAGCTGCCAACTGCTGGCCAGTCATGATGATGTTGGGGTTGTTGGTAGGGCTGCGCTGATACGACGATGTGTCACTGGGGGGATGGTTGGTGGACGGCGGCGGCGCATCTCCGTCCGGATTTGGCGGCGGAATCCACATCGATCCGTTCGGGACCATCTGGAACCCCATCGTCCGCCACGTCGTATCAGTGTCTCCCATTTGCAAGGAATACACCTACACAAAAAACAAATAATAACATAATCATAGAAATAATCGAAAAATAGTGTACCATATCGTTGAATTCGAGGTACATAAATATTTTTAAATTCGAAATTGAATCGTACGTTGTCGATAACAATGTTATAAAAAGACGACTGATACTTTGTTTTCATTCGATATCCTACTATATCGTACATTCTCCATCCTTTGGCATGTCCAGATATACATCAATATATATATATCTACCACCAACAAGTGACACTATCTCTTACCTTCCACTTGTAGTAAATAAACAAGCTCGATGTCGGGGGCGCCCGTAAAAAGTCATATTTTGCATCCAGTTGCGACCGCCGCATCAGGTCTTCAAACTTGGGGCCGTCTCGGGCCTACCGTATCACACCACTCTTACACACTAGGAACATATTACGCAAAACACTTGTCTAAATAGAAAAATACAGACCACACAGCGTGCCACGTAATTGATCAGGGCCGTGAGTTCTTTGTCGGCCGGGATTTCCACGATCACGGTCGAAGGCGGGACTTGCACCGTCGGTCGAGGGGGCGGGGGGACCAGCAGCGGGCGAGGGGGTGGGGGAGCCAGAAACGGCCGAGGGGGGGGGGGGACCACGAGTGGTCGAGGGGGCGGGGCCAAAAGCGGTCGAGGAGGTGGAACCAAGATAGGTCGAGGGGGTGGAACCAAGATAGGTCTGGGGGGTGGGGGGAAAACTGGCCGAGGGGGTGGGGCCGAAAGTGGTCGTGGGGGAGG